CAAACGGTTGAGTGGTGCCGGAGTAGGCCTGGAGCAGAACAATAATAACTTGTAGAAAATCGATCATAAAACGGCAATCTGATCCTTACGGCAAGGCGATGAAGAAGTAAATAAAAGAATAAACCAAAAAAGTATATATAGGGCAAATTTGTGAAAAATATATATATTTTTGTTTTATTCTTTTGTTTAATTCTTCATCGACTATTAAATCGACTAAGAAAGATTGTGCGTGAAGGGCCAAACGGCCAGATTCTGGTTGATCTAGTCAACAAAAAGAGAGGAAAAAGCAAGGATGACTGTACATCTGTATTTTTCTTTTTCGGTATTTTGTTTAACAGTATTCTGTTATGTGTTTTGATTGAGCTGTGCGCCACACCTTGAATTTCAGCCATGGCCATGAGTCTCTCTTCGACTTGAGGAGGCGAGACGGCTGAAATTGTTTAATTTTGGTGTAGCGCCCAGCGTAGAAACAACCGTGAACGAACTAGCGCGGAAAGCAAGTGCGATGCGTGCGAGATGTCCTTGACAGAAGTGTGTCTAACTTGAGAACGAGGGCGAAAAACCGATGAAATCCGGAAACCGGAAAGTCATGTGACGCAGTGGCTGCTGGCACAAACAGGACCGAAACGAACATGGCGTTGTCTTTATTTTTGTTCGCATTAATGTTGGTTCCTTGCTTCCTCGGATCTGATGCTTTGGTGGGGGGAATAGAGGAACGGAAGACTGATGATCCTGAAGTTCTAGATGCGCTGGATTTTGCCATGAATGAATTCAACGCTATGCAAAACAACATGTATCGATTAATGGCGACCAAAGTGGAAGACGCAACCTTTCAAGTAAGCCTGTAAATTGAGGATTTTTTTGCAACCTTCTCTGGTTTGAATTATGCGTTAACCCTAGTTAAGGCTTTTGTATAACTGCTGCCTTAAATTTGAGCGAAGTGCAAGTCAAAGCTAATGTTACTTACAGTGTATATCCTCTGGTTTGTAATAAAACCGAAATGAAACAATACTCCTTTATGTGGGCATGAACCGGAAAATAGAAATACGTTATCCCAAAAATCTCGCGAAGCTAAAAGGGGCAGCAATAAGAATAACCGGAAACAGGCCAGAGGGGAAAAAAATACGATGAAAGAAAAAAACATAGACAAAAACCAAAAAAAAAATAGGAAAGTAGCCGTGCCCGGATTTGAACCTGCACCCCAGCTTCCCTCAGCGCAGAAAGTGAGGCCTCATACCACGGAACCATGCGACAAATTCACAGTTCAATTCTTAAAATTAATAGTTTGAAGTATTTTTCTCTGCCATTCACACTGTTGGAACCTTTTGGAGCTGTAATTATCATGAATTCAAAGGTACATTTGACCTAAAAATAGCTTAAACGAGTATTTCAAAACCATTCTGCATTATTTCTGTATTTGCTCATTCTCGGGCTTTATAACAGCCAGTTGATGAATGCACTGGTCTTCTTCATTGCTACTCTTGCTGAAGTTCAGGTCGCGGTTCTTTGCGTCTAGCCTGAATTTCATCCGATTACTTCGAGTCGTTATTACTCCCTCAGTAACGTCTGAACCGACCGGCCGTTAATGCCGTCCAGTGACGTCACTACTCCTTGACCTTTGTTTAATTCATGCAAAAAGTAAAACACAATTTTCACGTGGCAAACCAAGAAATTTGAAGGGAAATAAAGGAAACCGAGAATTGATTATTAGGTTGAAACAATTTTTAACTGAATTTCATTTTGACCTGCAAAATGACGAATGATCTTGACCCCTACAAATCAAACCATTTACTTGGGGTCAACTGTAAAAGAAATGGAAAGGAACAACAGTCCATTGCCTGTTATTTGTGTCCCAACAGAAACCTGACAGAGAGTTCTGCAGTATTTCGCTTAAAATAGCTTATAAGTAACCACAAACTCATGATTGAAACTGGAAGATATAATCAAACTTCCCGCAACGATAGATTCTGCCCTATTTGTAACTTGGGTATAATTGAAGACGAATTTCATTTTCTCTTCCATTGTCCAAAATACTCAATCCCAAGGGAGAAATTCTACAATCAAATCCAACAAAATTTTGTCGACTTTAATCAGCTATCTTACACAGAATTAATAATTAAATTGATGAATTCACAGAATTTTTCCGTAAATTCACATTTGGTGAAATTTGTCTCATTTATGTAATGATTTACGTAATAATTTGTTATCAAATGATGCTGATGACACTTGATTGACTATAGTAATCATTGCATTGCATTATCATTGTTATGATTTGTTTGTTTGTTTGTTTGTTTTTTTAATGCTAAAGCTTTTGCAATACTGTAACTACATATTTCTAGTCATGCAAATAAAGCTTATGTTGTTGTTGTTGCTTACAATGTACAGTGTACAATGTACGTGATCAGTGTTCTGCAGATTATATCATGTAGATCCATTGTCAGAGAGAACAGAAAATGTAGATCAAACGGCCCTAAAAATCAGGCATCAGTTTCCTTCATACATGTTTAAATGTGTTAATGTTGAGGGTAGCCCTGTTATGGACTGGCTTTATGTCCAGGGGATAATCGAAAAATCCCTAGTTGCTTCATGCTATAGAACCAGGTTAAGTTCCACCATGCAGATGAGCTGCTTGGCTTAAATGCATAATTAGCATTACAAACTTACATATTGTAGACCTGAGTAGTCAATATATTTCTGAGCCCTGTGACATAAACACACATAAATGTTCATGTAGTAATGGTCCACATTGTGGTACATGTACATCATATAATTATCATAATATTCCTAGCAGAAACTCACTGTCTCTAAAACAATGGGGTCTTTTGTTTTGGTGGAAAGACATTATTTTAGAGATACATGTAAACACAACATTTATAGAAATGGAATATTGATCCCATAAAAGGGGCAGTTTCGGTAGGAAAAGATAAGCTGAAGTTTAACAGTTATTGAGGTTCAAAGGAAACTTGTGTCTGAGTTATTTTGAATGTGATAATTTTGTTTTCTTCATTTGTTAGTATGATGCAACTTTCCCTCTTTTATAACATTAGCAAGAAGAAAATTAAAGTAAGCGTGCAGTGAGGTACACTGTAGAACACCAGGTTAGAACTCAGATTTGGAATTTTTATCAAACCATTTGTGTTTCTTTATCGTTTAGTTAGTTGCTGGACAGAAGTTCTGTGTTGTCAGTGAGGTTGGTGTTTCCCGCAGCTGTCGCAATGATGATTCCCACAAGTCAGCTTCATTAGATAAATGTCCTGTTGATACTCTTGAGGTATTGTACTTTTTATATTATTATACCGTAAAATTCCGAAAATAAGCCCTGGGGCTAATATTTTTCAAAGGCTCTTTTTGAGGGGCTTATTTTTGGAGGGGCT